AAAAAAAAAAAAAAAAAAAAAAAAAAAAAAAAAAAAAAAAGCAGAGTCAGTGCCTACTCTGGCTGTTGTATTCTGACTCTCTTAGGGGGTCTTCCCCCCCGTTCAATGACCCCATTAACCCATGGAATTATGTCACTATGCATGTATGCACTTCGTATGAAGGTATCCCGCAAGTCTCCAATACGGAAGCTTTACCATCCATACTTAAGTACTTCCCAGTATGCAAGCAGGAAGCAGTAGTGGGCCAAAATCTCGCCATTCCGACCGGACTGTCTCTCATTATTGATGCCTACCGAGTAACAATAACCGACACACTTGCCTTTTCCAAACATACATACAAACATACACAAAAGAGAGCTCAGCCCCAATTGTATCGCGTTGGTTAACCCGCAGTGTCCGGTGGGATGATATTACTAGTGAGTCGTTGTCGTGGAGCATGGGTCCATGGGCCGCAATCGTGTGCATCATCCGCGTACGTATTGATCCATAACGGCATAACCCCCCATACGCAGGCGCTGCACAAGCGATGCTCCAATGCATGTTTCATCTTGATATCTATCCATAGAAACAGCTGAATGCTAGCCATCAACCTGTCAATCCTCTGCTGGATTTCGTTGGTGGACGCCTCAATCGCCGCGTCATCCCCCAGAAGTGACGGCGGTTGGTGCACTCCAATCGGCTGGGTTCCTAGGAACGGCAAACGGCGAGCCGAGCGGTTAGGAGGGACAAGGATCTGATATGGATGGAAGGCAGTCGAAGGGCAATTAGCAGGATCTCGATCAGGAGTTAGTTGAAATCTTCCGTACCGTAGTTTTTCTAGTGAGGAGACGAGAGAAATTGGCACTGGTCCACCATCCACGGAGTTCTCCAGCACTTTCGGAGCACCACCGGAGGGGGAGGAGGGGGAGAGGAAGAGCGATGGAACCAAGCGATGCAAAAGTCTGGTTCAGTCAAACTAGACTGTACAGACACAAACACACGCTGTTTTTTCCTCGTCTCCGCCATCGCAACAAAGGATGGCAACAAAGGGCCAACATACGATCGGTACGGGTTACACGGGAATACGCCGCAGGAAAAAAAAAGTCCCCAGGTAAGGTAAGTATCCATTGTGTCTGTAATAAGCCAGTGAATACTCCGCGAGTCTCCACTTTTTCTCCCCTAGTGCTTGGGAGCTATAATTATAGTCCTGTATTAAGTATTTTTTAACCCCCATCCCATCCCATCCCTACACCGAGATCAGACGAACCGTCTGACTTGTCTGGAGTTAGACTAACCACCACCCGATTCTCTCGTTTCTTTTCCACCCCCTGCCGCTCTATCATCAGTCTTTTCTTCCTCAATCGTCTTCGGCTTCCGTGGCATATCCTTGAATATACTTGCATTCTCACCCCAGCTACTACTGCTCCTCCTATATCCTCTTACCCCGGAGTATCTATTATTATCGTTTCCGCCTAGTCCTATCCCACCCTCAATCCGTTCCTGGTATACACCCACCACAATCAAAAGAATATGTTGACCTCCTCGTCAACCGACTCCTCTCGCTCCTCCTTCTCCGGCAGCCCCGTCTCGCAACACCCTCCTCACCATCAAGTATGGTTTCCTCCTGCTCCCCGCCGCCGTCCGCAACACTACAAGATCCCCCGCTACTACTCGACGCCCGTGAGGGAAGATGTCCCAGACTCGACCCCTCTGCAAATGTACGGACTGGAGGAGCGCGCGCCATCCATTGCTGAGAAGCCAAAGCTTCTGCGCCGCTTTTCCCACGCCCTCGACGACATCAAGGAAGACTTGACCCTCCAACCCAGCAGCGAGAAGATCCGGAGCAAGCGTCGCCAGTCCATCTTCGGGATAGATGAAATCCCCGGATCAAGCGGATCGATCTCCTCGCCTTCTATGGATGTGCCTGTGGCGGCCGAACCGCAACCCCCGAGGCCCCGTCCCCTCTCGATACTCGCCTCCGAGCCCTCCAGGAGGCTCAGTCGGCGGTTTTCCATCTTCGGGTCGAGACGTTCGAAGAAGTTGACGCCGGGTCAGGCCGGGAGTATCTCACAGCCCAATTTGATTGGGGCATCGACTCAAATATAATCTCATCATCGACTCTCGATATTGCATCATTGTCACCATCTCTATCGCCATTACCCTAATTGATCGACACGACGAGAGTTAATACACATAGACGCCGACAGCCGCCCCCGCACATACATCACCACAAGTACCAACATAACCGACCCATCCCAACCCAAGCATGCAACCCACGAACCCAAACCGCATCATTATAATCGGAGTTCAGCACGGCGCGGCGAGCATCATTCGATCCTTTGATCTATAATACCAGTCAAAAGTCTTTCCTTCATCATACATTCATCCATACCTTCCTTACCGGGCCCATTTCTTCTCAATATTGAATACATTTTTCAAATTCTCATTTTCAATTCCCATTTACAAGGTTGGGTGTCCGCATTAGCTCGGTGTTCGGTGTTAAGTTTATCTTGCTTTGAGTTTGATTTTACCTCGATATGCAGGTTTCCGTTTCGCTTAACCTCTTCAGAATGCTTTGAGCAGAAGAAGAATCGCAATTGCACATTCAACCAAAACATGTATTTATATACATACCCATGCTCACCTTCACACCTCTCGGTGGTCGGGTATACATCTGTATATAGATCATGTATATACACATACATTGATGATCATATATTTTCACACTGCATGGGCGGGCGGCATTGTATAGCCTTATTGTTTATATTTGTTCCCTCAAAAAACCATCATGATTCATATACACACCTGCATCAATGAACAAAGAGTTCCAAAAGAATTACTATCTACTACAGTAGTAGTGCAATCACCTGTTGTATACCACACTCTAAGAATAGTACCTGAATACTATAAGATGTACAGTTCATCATGATATCCACCCACACACCACGCCAGGCACAGCCAATCAACCCACTCGTTCATCAATGTCCAATACGGGCTTATCCATGTACCTGCATGCAACCAACTTATCACTATCACAATAGTTGCCTAGTTTTATCGTTATCCTTTATCCTTTATCATTATCGTAAAGTTACCCCTCCGCGCTTAACCGTAAATTGCACCCTCGTTATCGCTATCGCGACATAAGTAGTACTAACTAGTTAGTCTCATCTTATCCTGTTGTATTAAGATATGATCTGGTGGGGTCTAATCATAATATGGCAGTATCGTAGACGTTAATATTGTTGCACACAAATACCATCATCATCATCATCATCATCATAACCCGTCCATCTATCAAGGAGTTCCCCAGTGGGTGAGCAAGTAAATAGTAACTAACCCATACAATAGGCGTAAGTGGGGAAAAACGAACAAAAACAAAAGTAAGTGACAAGGGTCTCTGCCTTGTTTTCCCTTCCCCTCCCCTTCCCGCCCTTTCCCCTCACGGTTTAAATTCCAAGCCAATACTTGGTTTTTTTTATTAGTTTTGCCCTGCAATTCCGGAATTTCCGGTGATTGAACTTACAAAACTAACAGGCGAAGTAGGCTACCTTCTCAATCTATTCTAGACGAATGAAGGGAACCGAGGGGGGGAGGGGAAGAAGAAAAAGAAGGTACCAGAACAATAACGCTGTGCCTAAGCGCCGGGAAGCGCTGGGGTGAGTGACTGTAAGTAGTACTCTAGTGTGTAAGGAGACAGGTAAAGTTGTCAATGACTCGGCTATTCCCAGGCTAATTACTAGTTAGTCCAACTAACCGGTTACTTCTGGAATACCTATACATACTTACATTGGACTCGAAACCAATCTACCTACCTATCTGTACGCTGTACGCTGTATCCAAGTACCAGGTAAGAAGTGCAAGTGGGACAAGTGGGTGTCGTACAAATTGGTCGGAATTGGAAAAGGGGCGGTTAGTACTTGATACTAGTTGTGTTTAATTTCCGGTTTTGGCCTCCTTGTTCAGTGGCTTAGTCTTAGTACAGCAGGGAATTAGTTTGCTAGACTAGTTTAGTAACTGTCCGGGCGTTTTGGGAGGGGTCAAGCTTTTGGTTTCGAATGGATTATGACACAAAAGAGAATAATTTTTCGAAGGGGAAGGGATGAATGGACGGAGTGGGATTTCCGAAATGAGGGGGTTCAATATAGTACTGATTATTAGTGCTAGTACTTCTCTGTAGGTAAGTGGCTGCCTTGGTTTGGTTTGGTTTCCGCCGACCGTTAAGCCCGAAAGGAAGGATAGATTAGTTAATTTGGAGTAGATATTAGATAGATTAATCGACAGGAGTGGTGTTGGTAGTAGTGTCCAATCAAAGTGGAAATAATTAGAACGAAATGGAGTAAGTACCTGTACCTACAGTAATAGTAAATAATATAATGTGTATGTGCTCGCCAATCAGAATAATTGCAGTTCACCCAACGCAATGAAATCAGCCTGTAAAGAAGAGATGAGTAGTGGTTTAGGTAGAAGGTAGGTAAACCGAGGTGTAAAGCAGACTGAAGGGACGAATCCAAAAAGAGATATAACACCCAACCCCACCCATAGATAAATGAACCGCAAATATACACCACGCACTCCTCTCTAATCAAAAAGAAATCAAATATATGGAGATGATAGATATCCTCTATCTCGTCAACAGTCCCATCCAATCTATCAGTCATATTGGTCCCGTGCTCCCACCCCGAGATAAGCAATGATGTCAGAGGTGCCCTTCTCCCAGCTGATGCCATTTATAGCGTGACACTCTCCAGATCTCGCACCATCACGGACATTTGTGCCCGCTTGGCTGCCTCTGCAACAAGACTGAAGTCTCGTAAGAAAGGTGCTGTCGCCGTGGGACCGCCCGACCCAGTGACTTGGTGGGGGTAGGTGTCCGCTGCAGGCTGGCCCATCGTTGCAGCAGCAGCAGAGGTTTGTGAAAGATCGGTGAGGTTTTGTTGCTCGCTGGCGTTTGTAGTGGGAGCTTGAGATTGAAGCTGCATCTGGGCGGTTTGGCTATTGACTGCGGCAGCGGCGGCAGCGGCTGCGAGACCCAGGGTGTTTTGAGGTTGCGATGAGTATCCTGGTGAGACGTGTGCAGTGGACTGAGGTTGGTTGAAGGGAGTCAGAGTGCGGGCGGAGCCGTCCATGTTGTATTCTTTATATATCTATGGTGGAGGAGAGGTGGTGGTGATAAGGACGATAGCGATGGGAGAAGTCTATGAGGGCGGCAGCGATCGCGATGAGGAGGGAGCGACAAGGGAGCAAAAGGCTAGGCTCAGCTGGCGGGATGAGATCGCAGTCCAGGCGTAGAGAGGGTATCGGGGATTGAATGGACTGATCCGGTGGAGTCGTTAGTCGCCTTAGCCTGATCGCTGGCGTATAGAAGATGGCGTGATGAGGGGAGAAGAAAGAAGGAAAAGAGGCCGGCAGAAGAGAAAGAAAGAAAAAGCGCCAGCCAGCAAAGGAAAAGTAGCAACACGTGGGGCTCGTCCCAGAAGGCCGCGGTATGACGTCCGGCAAGGCTAAAGGCTGATAAGTGGAATTTCCACGAACGGATGACGCTGAACCGGAAAGTGAGGGACGGTTGCGATAGTCACAGATAGTCGGAGCGCTGCGATCAATTGGTCGGGATCGTACTTTTGGGACGCAAGGTCAATCAGGCGATAATATACTGAGAGTTAGCGAGGGAGGGGGAAAAGGACAATCATCGAACTAGTCAAGCGGAGATCAGTTCAGTTGACGATGATCGACAACCCCCGTCGCGAGGAGCTGAAAACTATCAGACTATTGTGACTACTAGTAATGATTGCTCTCTTTTTCTTTAGTCTTCCTGTTGCATTGCTGCTTTTGAAAAGCAACCATCGGCCAGCAAAAATTTCGCGAAAAGGTAATGCCGATAATTACCCGGCCGGTATGCGAGGCGGTCTCTCCGCCCGACCCCACGCGGGGTTTGCCTAGGAGATGCAGGTACCGTGACCGTATTACGCGGCGATGCCTCGGCTGAACAGCACGTGAGGTCAGGTGACTCTCTTGTGGTTCACTCACCCGCACTAGTCCCTTTACGGTATTCCCCCACCACGAAAAAAGACTCCACCCTGAGATTCGCATTCGAGAATTCATTATTCGGTGCGCATCACCGCCCCATCGCCCATCATGCGACATTCACATCCTCACCAGATCGATTTACTCATCCGCTGGAGCTAGGCTCGCATCTGATCATCATGGCGGAAGAAGACAATTTTGACACGGCGGCCATGTTCGAAGACCCCGAGGGCTTCTATGAACCCGAGCCCGAGCCCACCTTTGCAGAGCATCACATGCTCTCCGGCCAGAAAGTGCGCGTGCGCCTCGTTGGTAGCCATCCTCTCTATGTACGGCACTCCTGGTACCTCATGTTTCACCCGGTTTCACTCACTAATCGCTCATTCTAGGGAAACCTCCTCTGGAACGCCGGCCGAACCAGCTCCCACTACATCGAGGAACGCGCCAGCACACTAATTGAGGGGAAGGATGTCCTCGAAATCGGTGCCGCCGCCGGTGTCCCGAGTATCGTCAGCGCCATTCTGGGCGCCCGCACCACTGTGATGACCGACTACCCGGACCTGGATCTTGTCCAAAACATGCGCTACAATGCCTCGTTGGCTGAGCCTCAGATCGCGAACCCTGGCTCCCTCCACGTTGATGGATATAAATGGGGAAACCCGGTAGAGCCGCTGCTTGCGTGCCTGCCCGCTGGTGCGACGGGCTTTGATGTGCTTATCATGGCAGATGTGGTGTACAGTCATCGCGAGCATCCCAATCTGATCAAGACGATGCGGGAGACCCTGAAGCGGACCAAGGAGGCCGTCGCGTTGGTGATCTTCACGCCATATGAGCCATGGCTGTTGCCCAAGACGGAGAAGTTTTTCCCGCTGGCGGAGGAGAATGGCTTCCAGGTAACTAAGATATTTGAGAAGCTTATGGATGAGGTGTTGTTCGAGAATGACCCAGGTGTAAGTGTAGTTGCCCCACCTGGTTAACTGGCAATCTGGCTAACATACTCTAGGATGAACGTTTGAGAAGGACGGTCTTTGGATATGAACTTCGCTGGTCAGAGGAGGAGCTGAAATAGCATAACTGGCGTTGGAGGAAATGGATGAGTTTATGAGTCATGACTCGCTTTGAGACGTGTAGACAAATAGATACGCCTACAATAAAAGTTGATTATATTAGCGATAAAATGCAAATAGGCATGGCAATATCTGCTTCAGAGCGAGCATGTTTAGAAGTAGACGACAATGTTGTGCTTATTCCAACTGTATAGAGCCGTCAGTCACATGGACCCCACCGAGCCGCCCCGCGCAAAAATAACTTCCAACAATTCATTCTCCGCCGCAAATCCACCGCGCAACATCAGCAACCGACCATAACCGTTGATCGCTCCTCTTCCCTCTCATCATGCCGGTAAATTCCCTCCATCCCTCGCGATAGATCCGCATTAACCAACCATAGCTCATAGTATTGACCGGCTATCCCTGCTCCGGCCTCACCTACCGCGCCAACCAACTCGCAAAGCAGCTCGAAGAAACCCAAACCGAACTCTTCAACACCGGCGCTCTCCCCTCCACGAAACCCCGCTACAAAATCCATGTCGTACCTACTCATGATCCCTCCCATCCGCGAACCGTCTACGACCATGCCCGCACAGAAAAGGAGACCCGAGGCGTGGCGTATGCGCGGGCGAAGCGCGCCCTCGGCAAGGACAGTTTCGTGATCCTCGACGGAATGAACTACATCAAAGGATACCGGTATCAGCTGTGGTGTGAGGCGAAGGCACTAGGGACGACCTGTTGCGTGGTATGTTATGCTATGCCCTCCCTCATCCTCCTTCAACAATAACAACCATCAAGCAACGCATACTAACGCAATCACCACCAGGTCCATGTCGGCACACCCATCGACCAATGCGTCGCAAACAACGAGGCTCGACTCCGCCGTCAAAAAGACACAGACGACAACAACAACGAGAACAACAACGAGAGCACTCCCCAGCCTGATGCCGGAGCGACTCAATCCCCACCCGAACCCACCTCCGACCAAGAAGACCCCTACCCCCCCGAACTCCTCAACAACCTCATCTTCCGCTACGAAGAGCCCAGCATCCACAGCCGCTGGGACAAGCCCCTGTTCACCGTCCCCTGGACCGACGCCTCCCCCCCAATCGCCGAGATCTGGCCAGCCCTAACCGGCATCCCGCACCCTTCAGCAGCAACCACCCCCGATCCCAACACCTCCGTATCAACCCTCACCTCAGCCCTCAACAATACCAGCCTCTCCTCAGCAGCAAGCACCACCACCACAGCAAACAATCCCTCGACATTCCGCACTAACCGCCCCAAAATCAAACCCCACCAAGCAACCGCCCTCCCCGCCGCAACAGACTCCACAGCCCTCTACAACATGGAAAAGCGCACCTCAGCCATCGTCTCCGCCATCCGCAGCTTCACGCTCTCCAACCCCTCCGCTGAAGCCGCGCTCGCGCAGTGCCAAGACGGCAACAGCAGCAGCAGTAATGGCCGGGGAATAAGCATCCCCGTCCCGGAGGCGTCCATGCCCGTTTACGTTCCGGCGCATGTGGCCACGTCCGGCACGACGGATGAATTAGCCGGCGCGGGCGGCATTCTTGCGTTGCCGAGACTGCAGAGATTGAGGAGACAGTGGATTGCGTTGAATCGGGCGTATGTGCAGGGGGCGCATGCATCGAGTAAGGGCGGGTTGACGGCGGAGCAGGTGCCGGATGCTTTTGTGAGGTTTTTAAATGCGGAGTTTGGGGCGGAAAACGAGTAATCGCATTTTTCCCCCCCAAAGGTCCTGTTATTGTTTTGTGGTTGGTTTTGTGATGAGGGTGTTGGGGTAGGTTGGGATATGTTCTCGTTGAGTGCAAGGCTTGCTTATAGTGATGTGATAGAGACCGGTGGGAAAAGTTTACCATAGAAGCGTGTGTTTTTGCAAGTATTTAGAGAGCGTCATTTTCATTATAGCTTACTGCAAATGACGTCTGGCTATAGGCCTACTGGCAGGTTACTTGACATACGTATGTTATGACTGATGATGGGCGAGTGTCTGTATTCGAAAAAGCTTCTCGATTTGGGTATTTGTCGTAACTTTCAAAGGAGATTACAATTTACAGCTTTAACAGAGTTGAAAAGGTAGGTAGTGGGAAGAAAATAGCAAAACTTTTGATCCCCGCTAGCAGGGAAGTAGAGTAAAAAACTAGAGACAGCGACCCTCGGAAACATGAGTAAGTAGTCAAGCTATATCCAAAGCGGGGATTGAAAAATCCACAAAAAAAGGTGCAAGAGAAACAAAGAATATTCACAGGACAAAATGCACGTATGAACTCCCAATACATAAAATAATGGCAGGCCTCCTGTTCCACGACCTGCACCTATACATGAATGCAAACCCATTATCTATATCCATGTCCAAATCCAAAAACCCATGTACAAAACCATCGTCCCTGTATTTCCAATTCGCCCCGTTCCCATTTTTTTTTCTTCTCTCTGGTTGACCTCTTTCAAACATAGGCCCGAAATGAAGGTCGATGCTTCGCATCGATACCGAAAAAGTAGCAAGCAAAACCACGCCCAAAAGCAAGAAGATACACAGAATTTGAACAAAAGTTTTACAGAACCATGCGCAGCAAGCTGCGCGTACATGAAACGTAAACTGTCACAAGACAATGATGAAGGACTTAGGAGGCATCTCCTATCCGACCGCCCAGAGCTGTCGTCCCCGATCAGGGCTTCCACCATACCAACCTACACCGTAGTGAGTCCGGTAATGGTCTGGAAGATACCCCTCTAGGTGATGGGATCAGATCCGCATCACCGAGGGTGAAGCCGCGAGATGCGTCGTGGACACATTGTGGCTGGAGCGGGGAGCTCTCCGGGCAGCTGCAGGAGGCCAAGGATCCTTTGGAATGAAATAAGAAATCCAACCGATGGTCAGAGAATGATCTTTCACGGACCCTTTCCATGAAACTTCTATCCATCACGGCTCTTTCGCGTTACCATGAGATCCTTCCTATGAGAACCATCCAGCACTCGGCGATGCCTGGGGAGATAAATTTTAAAAAGGACTGCACATGATCGTCGCAGTAAAGCATTCAAGCAGGAAGACCGTGAGCGATCTGGGCCGCAGCCTGGCTGGCCTCAATGTGGCGGTAGTTGAGTCCAAGAGTAATGAGCTCCTGAAGGCTGGCATTGACCTTCTCATGCATGGAAGAATCCTGGGGCGTGATATTGGTGAGCTCCTCGAGCAGCCGGGACCGGCAGTTGTAGTAGTTTCTCTCCGCATTCTGGAGTCTCTGGTTGTGATGAGCAGAAGTATGCTGGGCAGCCTTGAGAGGGTTGGTCTGGGACTGGGTGGAACGAGTGCGCTTCATGGTGGGGGCTCCAGTGACGCCAGCAACTCTACGCTTGCGTCCGCCCGTCTCCTTCTTCTTGGCCGGTCCAGTGGTAGGGGAAGCATCCGGGGAGCTGTGCCTGTCCGAAGAGGCAAAGTCGTGCACACGTCTCATGTGGTCGAACAGATTCCACCTGCGGGGGAATCCGTAGCCGGGCACCGACCTGTCACAACCCTCAAACAGGCACAGGTGGGGGTTATCTCCGTGACCGTGGAATCCATGGGCTTCGCGCTCGTGGCGGAAAAGGCATGCGTTCGAAGAGAACTGCAGCTGGGCATCCATGCAGGCGGCGACCTTGCAGCGGTAGGGCTTCAAGTGGGAGTCCAAGTATTTGCTGTTGCACGATTAGTGTCGATGCTTTATCGAAGCGCTGCAGGTTTGACTTACTGATAGGCACACTTCTGAGTAGTCGGGGGGTGGTTGCAAGGCTTCTCTCCGTTGGCAAAGGGGCAGTAGTACTTTCCATCACTGTGAGTGGGCAGGGAGTAGTAAGGGTGATCCCGGGGGTTCCGGAGATCAGAGCCCTCCTTGGCTTTCTGGCGGAGCGTTTCCTTGACGGGCAGGGGTGGGAAAAATTCAGGATCCTGCTTGACCTGGGTCTGGGACATGGAAGTCTGCAGGGCTGGCCTACGTGCATTCTTGGTTGCCCGAATGGTTCTGTTGGGGGTCAGAATCGGCTGCTCACAGCTGCAAATGCGATAGAGAAATACTAACCTGTTAGGGTCCTGCTCACTCAAGGGGGGAGTGAGGGGGAACAATGGGTCTCCTAGGTTGATTCCATGGCTTCCAACGGGAGTGGTTGTAACATCTTTGAGCATGGCATCTTCATGGCTCATGAAGGTGGGGTATCCAGAGGCAGAGCAAGAGGAAGTAACAGAAACATCATTACTGGCGTCAGACAAGGGGGGAGAAACAGGCACTGATTGGAACATGCCGGTGGTATACTGATCCATGGATGATCCGTGGTAGTTCATCGAGTTCCACGCCTCATTGCCGGCCAGGTGGCCGTCATCCGCATGAGAGCTGTGGCTGGAGAGAGTATCATCAGGAGTGCAAGAGGACTGGGTACCATTCTGGCCATAAACTTCATTATCAAAGGCAGAGAGGTCAACCAATGAGGAGTAGTGGTTGAAGTCATGTGCATGGGAGAAATCCAGGTCATTCTGTTCAGTCACATCCTGGATGCCTGAGAAATCGGATCCGGCGTGATGATACATTACATCACTAGGGCCAACGGTCGATGGCAGCAGTTGCTGAGAGAAAGAGAAAGAGAGCATCTGGACTTCCGGGGACTCTGGTTTGGACATCGCACCACTGTCAAGTGCATCCACGTCGCTCAGAGACCACCCCTTCAAGTCATTGGGGGTCCCGTGGTTGGGGTGTGTGCTTGAACACAAGGAGAAATTGTCCTGGCTCGAAAGTTCATCATCCTGGATTCCTCTGGAGGCCATGTTGGGGATCCCTGGGATCATTTGGTTTTGTCTCGGCTGAGACAAGTGGTCCATAGTGTGCAAAGATGACTGGGACAAAGACATGTTCTCTGGGTCGTTCTTGATCTTGGTGGACATTGTGTGTGGGTGTTCTAATACCAGACAAGCTGGAAAACAAATGGCAAGCACTAGAAAGTAACTAAGAGTCAGTACATCTACACCTAATCGCTGTTGATAACAATGACAGAAAGTGAACGATGGTCTGCATCTGGGATCCATGTTGCGTCAAAGGGCCTATTATCAGTCAGATAAATCATTCATGCAAGCTTTAAGGTCGAG